ATGAGATACCCCAAAATACAAGGGCAGACCTTTCAAAGGCATAGGCCAAGGCCTTTTTGAAAAAGGCAGAAAAAATATATTCAAAGAAATCTAGATAAAAAACAAAATCAATCTTGTTCATATCCACAAGCAGTGTAAGATTTTGATTTGCTGCACAATACTACACAGTGCAGGTTTTATGTCTATGGATTAGGAAAGCTGAAATGTGCTTATGCTTTACCCACCGAACCCCATCAGATAGCAGATGGGGGAACTCAGGTCTAGAGACCCCATTTCCTGTCCATGGACACAAGCAGACAGCTATTGGGCCAGAGCCTGTGAGCACCACTATTTACAGGATCACGCCCCAGCTTTTATTCACTGCTGGTCCATCACATTTCTATAGAGCAGCTTTGCATTCAGTCTTCTAGGGGTTCCTGAAGTTTCTGAGAACTGAGCTTTTATTATATAATGTGATCTTAGCAGTTTTAGAATTGCCATTTATTAGAAATGTCAAATGTTCCCTTAAACTAGCCCTTTGTAAATGCTTTGATATAAAAGTCCTTCCTAAAATGACTCCTCTGTAATGTCAGAAAGGGCAGCTGAGGACAATGTGTCTGTTCTGTGCCATTCATCTCATAGCCTTCCATTCAAAGTGCTAGGACAGCATTTTGATTACAAGATAAAAACGCAGAAATAGAATGCATCATTGACCTGAAAATTGCTCCAACAAAACATTGTAGCTGCCTCTAACCTTTTTTTTTTATCCTTTGAGAATGGAACAAAGTTAGAAACAAGCATACTACCTGCCAACCGGGAAATCATGATCATTTCTTTAAAAGTTTCATGTGCTAGTGTGTAGTTACATCCTGATTTGAAGAAAATATGGCTAGTGTCTTCCACATAAACATAAAGTCCTTGCTTCCTCTATTTACCATCACAGACTAGGATTAGTAAGAGTTACCAGTTCTCATGGTATGTCTCTAGTAATTGCTTTGTTTCTGTGTAAGATTTAATTGCAGGCTGTTGTCCTTGGTTTCCATAAGAGTGTGTACATAGCCTTTCCAACCCTACAAAATACAGGGCCATTAAACAAGCAGAATGAGGCACTGCTGAACAGTGTAACGTGGAGTAATAGCCAAATCGCTAACCAAGGACGCTTTGGAGATAAGCTAATTAATTCAATTATTAATCTACTTATTAGTTAATGGAATGGAGCAACAATTTGGATTAATTCTTCTGAGCTCCAGTAACCATTTTCCCACCACCCTTCTGTTGTCCATCACAGTTTAGGGTTCCATTGCTCATGTTTGTATCCTGTCTTATTTCCCAGTCTAGCAGAGGAGATGCTTCGGTGGATCAGGCCATCTGTCACAAGTACAGCAGTCATCTCTCCAGTGGTTATCTGAAAATTATGAACTTGACCTTTCACACTTACAGCAAGAGTACAGATAAACAGCTCCTCTAACAAGATTGCCTACAAAATTATCTAGCAAAGCCTATTTCCCAAATCGAGTTCAACTGCTACCACATTTCCATTTTTGAGTGCCTGTCATTATCACTGCTGCCTGAGAAATTTGGTGCCTCGCACCTCAGTGCTGAGACTCGATCTGTGTTCAACCAGTGAGCTCCTGTACCCACATTCCAAGCTGTCCAGTCTGCAGCAACGCAACATCGAAGGAAGGAGAGGCATAAAACAAGTTTGTATGTTACAACAAATTTGATTACAAAATTAAGTCTGTTTTCATTTTGATATTATAAAAGAAGCAGCAGGAGGTTTGACTGGATCACTTGCTTTCACATTATTACATTCCTTATGTCACTCCATTAGCTGGAGTGAGGGCTCCCTGGGAGAGAATCAGGAACATTTAGGCCTTGTGTTTACACTCAAGGCAGTGTGGCTTCAAGTCAGAAGCCGGCAGTTCATGTTCCCTGGCCTGCTAGAGGAAGATCAAAGAGAGCGCCCAGTTCCCTTGCTTGCTTGTCGTCTTTCTTAGATGGGAGGGTTTTCCTCCCACCTTCAGCTCATGAAATGTCACCATGTGGCATGAGGCTAACAGTAGACTGGCTGGCATCAACAGGGCCACCTCAATTGTCCAGGACAAATGCCACGCAATATGAAGATTTCTCACATCCCTTGTCACTTCAGAGGAACTTCAAACCCTACAGCCCTACCTCATGTGGACTAACCCACATTATGGCTATTAACTCATCTCAACATTACTAATTAGTTACACGCTCAGTGGCCTAAAACAGTCAGCAATCTCCTGGAACTTCAGGCAAACACTTGGGGGAGTTACATTTGGGTATCTAAGGAAAAGTGACTTTTTCAAACATTAAAACCCCTTAGGCATAACAGGATACCACCAGTACAAGAAGGAGGAAAAGACACCAGAACGCAATGGAATGTATCAGAGTCAATATGAACAATCCTTAAACTACTCCTGCTTTTGTGCCAAGCACATCCCCGTCCTCAGGAACAGCTTCTGAAAGCTTGGATATGCTGCTTTCTAATGGTCCTGCGCTTTTCTTGACTTGCATGTTCCCTTACACTGTGACATTCGATGCTGTTTCTGTGCCTGGTTTATTAATACATTTCATTTTGTAACATGGGATGCCGTTTGCCTGACTGCAGCCATGTTTTGAAGTCAACCACCATTATCCTGCTCTAAGTTGCTGGCAATGGGAATCTTCTTGTCCTGGGCTTAACACTTGATACACTTCTCTGCAGCCACTGCACAGGTGACCCCACTGCAGCTGAAACGGAAGGCTGCCCGCCAGCTCTGGGCTGCACCGTGGGGTCCGCTGGGAAAGACCACCTCCCTGAGATGGGGACAGCGTTTTCTTCCTCAGTGTACCCCCTCTCGGTGCCAAACTGTAAACCAATATTCTCTCCTGGTCAAGAACAAAGCAATGTTAAAAGGCATTGTTTAAAGGCATGGCACCTAGTGAGACAGTGCATTAGTTTGTTATAGCATATTCTACACATTGGATGGTTGGAAAGATTCTGCTAGGGAGACGCAAGGATGTGGATTCTGAGACCCATCAAAACTGATGACACCTTGATAAGATAAGTTAGCTATGTGATAAATTGTGGTGGATAAAAATATTGACTGAAAGGGGTGTGGTGCAATAACCTAATGGCTAAATCCTTGCCTTGCATCCACTAGGATCCAATATGGGTACTGGTTCGTGTCCCAGCTGTTCCACTTTCCATCCAGCTCCCTACTTGTGGCCTGGCAAAGCAGTGAGAATGGCCTAAAGCCTTGGGACCCGGCCCCTGTGGGAGGCCAGGGAAAAGCTCCTGGCTTTGGATAGGCTCAGCTTTAGCAATCGCAGCCACTTGGGTATACAAGCAACAGGCACACAGAAGATCTTTGATTCTCTCTCTCTGTAAATCTGACTTTCCAATAAAAATTTTTTAAAAGTCTAAAGAATATAGACAGAAATTTTCTTACTGCAAGGTAGAATGTCTCCTATATCTGCTCATCACTCCTATTTCCACACAGTCCTCCATTCTCATGGATTTTTCTACCATACCAGCTTGGCAGGACATCAGCTCTGCCTGTCTCAACCTGTGCCCACACCTGGGCACCCAAGATCGGAGTCATCAGTCCTGATGACTGAACTTATCAGTGCCTTTTGGCATAAATCTTGGGGAGACTTTCAGTAGTCTCCAGGAATTCACTTCTCCCACAAGCCTCCCCATTCCACTGCCTCAACCGTAGTCTCGCCTTCACCTAGTTGCCTGTGGCCCCTCTGCATATGTGCAAATGCTCTCCTTTCTCTCCTGACATAACACAACATGGGCGGTCCCTAATCCTGTGTTAATGCAAACAGTCTCCCTGCTCACCGGTTCCTCCTCTATCGCTCCTTACGCATTCAAGGGCTGTTTGCTTATTTTAACCAATCATTCAGCTACACCACATCATTCACAGAAAGAAAGATAGATAGATAGATAGATAGATAGATAGATAGATAGATAGATAGATAGATAGAGACATCCATCATCTTTATCTCCATCTCTAGCTCGGTCTCATATGATCTTATCCCATAGATTAAGTATACCTACTCAGTGACAACCAGCTTGATTTCTATCCTGACCTATAGATTAATATAAACTGTTTGTACTAACTGGGCAAGTATTTTTATAGAAAAGGCAATGGACACATTTTATAATCAAAAGAAATCACTTCTTCTCACCCCACAGATTCCACTGCACCACTGCTCTTTTTTTTCTTGAAAAAAAAAAAAAAAGAAAGAAATACAACACATAGCAAGGTTCCTGATGTGACCCACATATTATTTGGAAGTCTTCCCCATAGCCGGAGTCCAGTCTGTTAGTAGGAAATGTGTAGCTCCAGATGTGTGCAGTACAGCACATCAGCACACTGTCCAGGTTGCCCACGTCACGGATCGGAGTGCCTGGCTTGGAGTTACAGCTCCATTCCGAACCCCAGCTTTTACCTAACATACACCCTGGGAGTTCTTGACAATCTCCAAACGTTTTGTCAGGTGTAACACTTGATCAAAACCATCCAGGGACGTCACTATGGACTGCTGAATATTCATTTACATTTTCAATGCAATAATTTTCATATAGTATTTACTGATCTGCCATAATTTTTCATGAATTTATTCATTCAGAAAACATTGAATGGGGCCTGGTGTGGTGGCCTAGCAGTTAAAGTCCTAGCTTTGAACGTAACAGGAACCCATATGGGCGCCAGTTCTAATCCCAGCAGCCCCGCTTCCCATCCAGCTCTCTGCTTGTGGCCTGGGAAAGCGGTCAAGGACAGCCCAATGCTTTGGGACCCTGCACCCACTTGAGAGACCTAGAAGAGCTCCTGGCTCCTGGCTTCAGCTCAGCTCAGCTCTGGCCATTGCAATCACATGGGGAATGAATCATTGGAGGAAGATCTTCCCCTCTGTTTCTCCTCCTCTCCACATATATCTTACTTTGTAATAAAAATGAATAAATCTTTTAAAAAAAAAAAGGAAAATATTGATTGGGCACTTACCATGTTTCCAGCACCACCTAGCTCCTGTAGGTACAAGCTTGAAGATCACATAATTCTATCAGAATTATTCTGTTTCCTCGGACGCTTCACAGAACATAATCATTTATCATTTTTCTGTTGACAAAAGTAATTCATTTTGAGTGCATAAAATTTGTAAAATACAGCAAAGCACACAGAAAAAAATTAACATACTACATGCTGGAATGAATCGTACTTTCATTTTTCTCTTATGCTTTCTTGTGTTTTACTTACTCTATCATTCCCATGGTCATAATCCATGTTTTCTTAGCTCAATAATCATAATGTCAGGACACTCTACCCTGCACTGTTGGGGGGGTTGCTTCATCCTTGAGTTGACATTTCAACAATTTAAACAATTCCTTCACCATCAGGAGCTCACCACATAAGAGGCCAAGCGTGTGCTTTTGCAAGCCCTCAGAGAGCAACCGCTCTTGATGTGGCAGATCAAACACCCAGTAGTTATTCTGTCTATATCTCTAACCCTCCATTGAAAAAGCAATGGAATCTCCGAATCTAAGTATGTGTCATATGAAAGTACTTAGAAGCTTTCATGGAAAATGTAATTAATATATTGGGTCTAATGCAAAACTGTTTTTTTGAAACCTATACAGTTTTTCCAAAATTTGCACCTTCTGTAAACTTTTCAGAGATTTTTTTCACTCGTTCCATTAATTGAACCTTGAAAGTAATCAACAAGAAGAGGTTGTCGGTGGCTGTTCTTTTAGAAAGCCAGTCAGATCACAGATTCTAGGAGATTTCCTGGTTGATTCTAAAATTGTCATCAAGTTAGTGGTGTCATTCATAAATATTAAGGACCAGAAATTTCAAGCAAAAGCATGAAAACTTCAAATAAAATCAAAGGCCCTGGGAGAATGTGGCTTTGCCACTGAGCTACTGCACAGCCTGCAGCCACGGAGAGAAGCACCAGGAAACTGATTAACTAGGACTGCAGTGACAGTGGGCTAGAAAATCTGTTTTCTCTTCAAAGGCAGAGCATCTGATGGCTCTGCGTGATGCAGTGCAATGCCACATGCCTCATGGACACCAATTTAAATCCAAGCAGGGTCAATTGTCAGGGCAGAAGTCATTTGTGCCCAATAGCATTTTATTAGCCTGTGGGAAATGCTTCAGAGGTCTGAACCTACATCTCAGGAAATGTGACTGCATCCCCAAGAATACTACTCAATACAAAACCCTCTTGGTAATTCCAACCATAAGCTGTGTATATACAAGAGAACGGATTAACAAATAATAGGTCATGAAGTATTTTGATTTTATAATTGTAATAGTAACAATGGCACCTTGATTCTATGTAGTTCTTTCTATTTTATAAAGCATTTTCACATTTCCTATTTATTTCTTATCAAAAGCCTGTCAAACAACAAATTTAGAATCCATTGTTGATTGTATGTTTCAGAGGTGGAAAATGGAACTCAGATATGCTAGGTGAAACTTGTATCTCACACTTGGCTTTTAAATTTCATAATTCCATTCCTTAGTGTCAATAGCCTGCAACAGGAGTTCTGACTTCAGCCTTCTAAATCCAAATTTCTATTTTGAAGTTATTTGCAACAACTCAGCTTTTTTCTTAATTTGCAGAAAAAATTACCATATGGGTAATTTTAGAGAATATACAATTGTCTGAGTCTTTTCCCAGTATAGAAACAGCATACTCATTATATTGCTCCAGAGAGAAAGCATTTTAGAATCATTGACTGAATGAGCTATGATTATTCACAGCAAAAATTTCAAATTTGTTCTTTCCACAAGTTAATAATGAAACTATTCATCTAATCACAGCAAATATTTACTGGTTGCTTGACAAGAGACAGACTTCACTTTTAAGTCCACAGTAACTTAGCACGATGGGCATTTTACGTTACTCCTCCAAAAAAGACTTGGGCATACAAGATCAGGTAACATGGGGTAGACCTGTGGCCTAGCAGGTGGATGTCACTTGGGGCATCACAACCCGTATTAGTCAAATTGACTTTCTAGCTGCAACTCCTGCTTCCAACCTGCTGCGAGGGCAAACTCCAGGAGGCTGAGGAGACGGATCAAACGTTGAGTTCCTGCAACTTGCATGGGAGACTTGGACTGAGTTCTTAGCTCCTGGCTGCAGTCTTGGCTCAGTCCCAGGAATTGTGGGCACATGTAGAGAGAATCAGCAGGTAGGAATTCTCTTTGTGTATCTCTCCCATGGCCTCCCAACAAAATAAAAAATTTTGCAAAAAAAAAAAAAAAAATTTCAGCAAGCCCAGATATAAAGGTACAGAATTAGGAAGCAACTCTTATGCCTGGATCCAAAATCTGCCTTCCTACTCACAGCACTTCGGACGAACAAGAGCAATATGCCTGAGAAGACTTCTGCAAGGATTGGGCAAGAAAAGCAAGACTCAGAAAACCTGCATCGCTGCTTAGGGTTGGCCTGATCAAGAGAAAATAAGCTACCTGTTTTTTTCATAAATGTACTGTTCTTCCAGTAACATTACCAAGCAACACAGATGTCAAAAATCCAAGTAATAGGTACTAACAAACACAGACACACAAACCAAATTCAAGTGTAGTGTCACTTTAGCAGGGAACAGTCACTGAGTTATTACTGAGTGCAGAATAGTCGGAACTTTATAGAACTATAAATATAAAGGCAGTATAATTTTTAAAAATAAATAGAATATACCTGCAGCCCTTGGTAAACTCGACGTACACTGAGAATTATAACAAAATGTGAAATGAAATCCAAGCCGAGATGGCCAAGGTGTGCCAGCTTCAATGAAACACAACTGTCTCAAAGACTCAAGAACAGACTACTGGGCTCTGTCTGCTGAGCGACTCAGGGTCTGCAGGCAAGTCTGATGTTTCACAGTACAGCTTGTTTCCAGATGAGGCTGATATTGCTTGTCCAGGGCCAAGACTTGGTCACCCAGGGACAAACAGGGTCAACTGAATTCTAAGGGAGCGTGGAAGGAGGTACCATAAGCTCTTCCATGTGGGAAAATTCCTGGTAAGTTCACACTTGAATTGTGCCAACCTGCCTCTCTACCTAGACACGACACACTTCAGGACCAAGCAGTGGAATAATCCTTCCAGTTCTAACTGTTCTCACTTCTAATGATTTGGTGGCATCCCTCTACTCTTATGAAATAAAAATGATGAAAGCATGTTGTCTTACCCCACAGCCCAACACGTCCACTGAGGTTTTTTATGGCTTCAACCAGGGCCCTAGCATCCCAGGCAGGAATGAGAGGGTACATTTAACATATCCTGTACTTTATTGAAATTTCCCTGAGTCTGTTTGAATTTCTTCTAACAGCATTTTCCTCTCAAAATTGGGTTTTATTTTGTCCTACCCAGACTCACACATCAAGGGGTGATAAAAAATACAACCAAGCTGTTGGTTTCATTTGTTTGGCTGATTAGTTTTCCTGATTGTAATGACTGAAATGGCAACAACATCCCAGGTACGTATTCTCCCCACCCCTTCACGAGGGATGAAAGAAGAAAGGAAAATGCTTGAAAATGCAGCGTAACTGTGTGCTGGAGTGGGGAATCACCAAGAGGGAAATGCACTGGCTTCCGAGAATAGTTGTATTCCCAATTCCTCTATCATTTTACCACACGATCTTAAAATGCTTGCTGTTCTAATTTCCATATGTGTAAAGCAGGGAGGGTATTTGCCATGAGGTTTAGTTAATGCTTGTGAGTGCTTCTGAGATCGTGGGAAAGGGGAAGAAAAAAATTTTTAAAATTATCTATCTTGAACTTTGAAACCCAAACTATAAAACAAGAGAAATCCATATACTTTCAGCAACAAACAAGTGGAAAGGCATTTTCCTCCTACTAAGTTGTCAATGCCATAACAATCGTGTAGTTTATGCTGACACTTACAGGGACTTTGCAATCACTTCTGATGCTTTTTATTCTGTTTCTGGAGGTTAGATCATTCAAATACTGCCTGCAAGTCTAAGGGTCAGAGAACTTTTCTGTGAAGGACCAGCTAGAAAATATTTTAGGCTTTTCAGACCACATACAATCATAGAGTCAATCACCTAGGATTCTGATTGTGAGGCATTCTTAAAACTGGGATGTGTTACTATCACTCATCATTCTCATTTGCTGTTTTCCATTAGCGCCGGTGCCCACTGCATCAGTCCGTTTCACTAATCCAGAGCTGGTCAGGGAAAATGTTCAGGTAGCATTTGCAACCTCTGCCCTGCTTTCTCCATTAAGGTATGTCATTTTCTGAAATAATACTGTGTCTCTCCAGTTTCAGTGCTGTGAGACTTCCCCCACCACCATCGAGTCTATTAAATCAAGCCAGTTAATTTCAGCACCATATATGCAAGCCATTCTCCTCCATGCACAGTTGCTATTTTATTGTGCCTGCCGCTTTGATCCTTGTGTATTCTCATGTGTCTTTAGAGAAAATGTTACCCCTTCAGTGGCACAAATTGAAAACCTATTGTCAAGAGCTGTGTCCTAGCCATTTTGATTATCCTGCATTTTACTCTTCTCCTCATTTATTTTAAAAGGAAAGAGACTGAATGTCAGCCTCCTTTCTCTCCTGAGTGTAGTTGAAGGCTCCTATTGTAGTCCTATTACCATTTAGACACATTCTCCCTTTTGTTTAACTGTGGTGCTGCTTCTCTTCCTGTCTGCTTTGGTTCACATCTCATTTGGGGATTTTGTCTAAAGAGATTTTTTATACAGATCTCCAATCAGTTTATTTTAAAAGCCATATAAGGTAGAATGGAGAACTCCACAAATTAAGCTCTAAGAGTTTACAAAATGGAACTGTAACTGCTTTTGCTTTTTTTCTGGTGAGAAGGTTTTTTTAGCTCCTCCCCTTTAGCTAAGATGAATTCTTCATGAACTTCCTGATGAATCTGTGCATGTCAATCTAACCCTTCCTAAGGATTTCAGGATGGTTCCAGGTAGTTCTGCTGTATGAAAAATAGGAAAGGCAGTTCACTGAAATATGTGGCTGTAATTTTACAACGTGCTTAAGGCTTTTTCATTTTTCCTCCTTGCAATGTGCCATCAATCTGGACACATTGGAAGCTTCATTAACATGTATGGGACATGACTGGAAG